GGCGCGGGCGGGGAGGAGGTACGGCGCGGGCGCGGCGCTCTTGTCCTCGGCGCACTGAGTGACTTCGCCGCAGTCGCTGTCGTGGGACGAGAGGGACAAGTAGGCGTAGAAGTCGCCTTGGCGCAGGTGCAAGGGCTGATGGGAATGTTGCGCCACCTGCAGCCGGCACACAAGGACACAAAGCTCACGGATTCGCCATCGCGACGCGCTCAACTTGCCGTCGATTCGATTCTGGGGAAACGGCCCGCCTGCTGCTGCGCTATGTTTGCCCTTGAAACTAACAAATAGCCCCCCCCCCCCCACGCACCAAGCAAAACTTTGCAGCTGCTAATTGAAAATATGGTCGGGTGTGGCGACCGTGCCGAGCACGTGCGCGCTTGACAAGTGAGGAGATCTGCAACGATTTCTCCATGTTGAGCTGATTTCTTTCAAGGGGGGGCCGCTGCATGGTCTCGACTAGTTTTCAAGTCTCCACCTTTGGATCGACGTCGACTATTACGACTCGGTCCGCCGAGCGCCGCGACCCTCCTGAGGATGAAGCGGCTCACGTGGCGGATGGATTTTGCAGCATCGGAGCAGCCGATTCGTACGATCGTTTGTTTGGCCTTCGGTTTTGGATTCCGGAGATCATTTGTTCCAACAGGTCGATTTGGGACTTTATCGGGAAGTTTTACGAGCCGAGATATTTCTTCAATTGATATACAGTTGCTATTTTTTGTGTGTGTGTGCGCGCGTGGGTGCTCGTGCGCACGCTACCTTCGCTCGGATATGCTGGAAGGAGGCGGGGCCTCGCCGGCCGTCGGACCTCCCGACGCCCGACGGGGGCTCTCGTCCGGGAAACTCTTTGCTCCGGCGGGCCTCCGCGGTCAAGTCCAGGATTTCCATCACAAAGTCATGCACGGCCTCCTTGGCCTGAGGCGAGGTGGGCAAGGGGGGCGAGGGAGGCGGGCGATGGCAGCGCGGGGAAGCGCGAGAGCCCTTCCACTTTTTGCTCGGCAGGCAGGAATGTTTGTCCCGGAGTTTGCTCCTGCTCTCCTCCGTCACCAGCGAGGAGAACTTGAAGCTCTCCCGGATGGTGATGGCCTTCCTGTCGCCGCAGGGCGTCGCGCTCTGGCAGGGTAACTCGCCCTTAAGCTGCCCCACTAAGGAGGAGGCGGCGGCGGTCGGCGCCCAAGACGGAAGCGGGTCGACGTCCTCCTCGGCCGCGGAGAAGAAGTCGAAGGAGTCCCTGAGACCTCGTCCTTTGCCGCCGAGAGCTCGAGGTTCTCCCCTCTTGGTGAACACGGCCGACTCCTCTCGCAGGAGCTCGTCGTCCGCATCTTTGCCCCTCAAGCCGCTCGGCTCCACGTTTCCGTTCTCCAGGTCGTCCGCAAACTGGCGGATGAAGCTCCTCGCGGCGTTCCTCCGCTTCCCCCCCTCCTCCTCCTCCTCGTCGCGGCCTCGTGCGCCGGAGTTGAGGAGGCATCCTTGCTCGGGGTCGCTCCCGCACCGGAGCTCATCCCAGAGTCCGAGTTCGGTCCTTGAGGTGCGAGGACGCGGCACCCGAGGATGGAGCTCCTTCTTCACGGAGTCCAAAGCCGGCACGTCGGGCGAGGCGAGCGCCGGCCCCTCCTCGTCCTCGTCCTCGTCCTCATCTTCCTCGTGGACTCCCGTCTCCTCCTCCTCGGTGAGGGTGAGGGTGGAGGAGGAGAGGAGGTCGCCGTCGTCCTCGTCGTCGGTGCAGGCGGAAGCGCAGGAGACGTTGACCACCATGCTCAAGCTAACGGCGTCCGCCTCGCCGCGGCCGGCGCTCCGCTCGAAAAAAGAGCGTCGGCCGCCCGGCGACGGGGAGGCGAGCGCTCGCGGGCGGAGGGGAGATCTGCCGCGGAGCGTGCCGTCCGAAACGCTGCGCGTCATCTGGGAGGCCGGGGGGCTCCGAATGTTCTCCAGACGCTTGAGGAGGTCCAGGGTTCTCCCGCTCAGCTCTCCTCGCGCCCCGCCGCCGACCCCGGGGTCGCCCGGACCCTGGCGCTCCTCCCCTCCGCTCCGGCAAACGGCCAGGCCGCTCTCCAGCGAGGCGCTGCGATGGAGGTGCTCCGTGGAGGGGAACAGCTGACGGCCCGGCGACAGGAGGGACTCCAGAGAAGAGCCCGGAGACAAGGCGGGGCCGGGGGGCGGCCCGGCAACGTGATCCGAAGGGGGCTGGGCGGGAAACCGGGACGCGCTCGGGTCGGCGTCGTCGTCCTGATCCGGCCTCTCGGCGCCCGCTTCCTTCGGGCTCGACGGCCGCCCTTCTTCCTCTGCGCTTCGTCGGACGGGCTCCGCCCCCTCCCCTTCGTCGCCGCGCCTCCCGCGGCATGGGATCACGTCGCCGTCACCGGCGTCGCTCACGATTCCGCTTTCGCTGCCGGGCGAGCGGCCGCGGTCGCCGCCCCCTCGCCGCCGGGGCGGCCTCTCCGTCAGCCCGCCCAGGAGGTCCGGGAGGGACTCCGCGGAGGAGAAGGTGGAGTCCCGACTCAGACTCTTCCGGAGGGCGCGCTGCTTCCCCTCGGTCAGGCGGGGGAGCTCCGGAGCGCCGTGCGACTCGAGGGCGCGAAGGGCGTGCGCTCGGGAGACGGGCGCCTCACAACTCGCGGCGGGAGGGGGGTCCCTCGGGCCGCCGTCCGGAGGCCTCGCGGGCCCGGGGCGGGGGAGGGGGTGCGTCAGGTCGGGTTGGGGTACCTCCGCCGGAGTCATGTCGGTCTCGTCCCATTCCCACCAGTCGTCCGGAGGCGAGGCCTCCGAGGGCGCTCGGTCGGGGCTCGCCCGCTCGGGGCGCCGCCGGCCCGATGGCGGAAAGTTCCCGGGGGCCTGCGGGCGACACAAAACCGTTTCCTTTCAGTTCACTCCGCCGCGGCTTTGGGCTTGAAGTGACACCGCCTTCGTTTCATCGGCTTCATCTTTGAGTGCGCGGCCCCGCCCCCGAACTCGGCCGGCCGCGGAACATCAACGCGTGACGCGGATTTGAACCAGCGGTCGACTCTCCCTCGGTGTGAGGACAAGAACGAAATCACCACGTGGGGATCATCGATCGCTCAATGATGTCTTTCAAATATGCGGACGACAAAAAAATGTCTCGATTTCACCCGCGGCGTCGTGAAACGTCATTCGGCGAGGCCGACGTCGCGCTCTCAAAAGATGAGAGCGATTTGAGAGTTTGTTTTTCTGAAATGCTGCGACCCGGCGCGGAGACGACCAAAGTGACGTCGCGGGATTGAAAGCCGATGAATAATTCCGATCGGATGCAAAAGGCGCAACGTGGCAAAAACCTTCAGAAGGCGGCCGACAATGCGCTGAGGCGCCGGAATTGTTCACTTGCGCAGACGTAATTATACAAATTGCTCCTCATCTCCTTCATATCAACGTGTGTGTGTGGGGGGGCCGGCATTAGTCATTCATAGCCAATTAATCTCATGAAGCAGTTGGCCGCGTGCGCACGTGCGTCATGGATTCGTGTGTTTGGGATGCGGCGACTTCGCCGCAATGAGAAAAGCGGCGCGCTGACGGGAACATTCGGATTCGAGACGCGCAACGACACCCGATCGTGACAAAATCTGTCATTGGTTTTTGTCGTCCATCGGCTTTGCGTCCTTGCGAACCGTTGCGCCGCTCGACCGGAGGGCAGTCGTGGTCGTTTCTGAGCGAAAGCCGCGTCGGCGGCGTTGCCGTCGCCCCCGCGCGGGAAGTCAAATGACTCCGAGCCCACATTTGTCAGCCCTGCGCGCCAGGGCGTGCGTGTTTGTGTTTGCGTGCGCGCGCAGACGTCAGCCACGCCGAGCGCTTCAAGCGTCTCGGCCTCGTCAGAGCTTCGGTCACTTCCAAGAGCGCCGAACGTCCCAAAGCCGTCGTTCCAAAAAGCAGCCAATCGACAACAAGACTCCGATTGACGGGCGGCGCGGCGAGCGGCCGCCGAACGCGTCTGCCGAGGCGCGGGTTGGAATTCCACGGAGCCCCCGAGGTGTGATTGTGAGCGACCGGACGGCAACGATAGCTTCATGATCGCCGACGGCGGCGACGGCGGTGGCGACGACGGCGGCGCGCTCCCACCGTGGGCTCTCCCAGCTCCCTCTTGAGTCTGTTGCGCCAGTGCAGCGTCTGCATGAGCACGGCCTCCCACCTCCGCTCCAGGTTGATGGAGAGCAGCTGCAGGTCCTCGCCGTCCCGCTCCGCCTCGGGGCCCGGCTGGACAAAAAAACAATCGCGCGCGCCGGATGGGTCGGCGCAAGGTCGACTTCCCGTCCGGACTCGGGGGGGGGGTACCCACCTGGTCGTGCCGGAGGAGTCGCCGGCAAAGTTTCAGAAGCCGGGAGACGCCGCGTCGCCGGGCCCGCACGTCCGAGCACAAAGTCTGCGGACGCAAGACGGCGGCACGGTTACTCCCCCTCGCCGCGTGCCCCCTTTTCAGAAAAGCGCACCCAACGCTCGAAATTTGACGCGTTACGCCGTCCGCTCGGATTTCAGCGTCCGCCCAAAATCTGCCCGGTCGGCGCCCTCGCCACCCGTCGGGCGAGACCGCCGATGAGCTTGCCGTCGTTGGCCGGCAAGGGGACGCCGCTTCCGTCGGACGTGTTCGACGGGGCCGGCGTACGGCATCCGAACCGGCGAATGCGCCGATTTGGGGGCATCGGCGACCGTGGCAAACGAGCGTGGACGGAGGTCATTCAAATCAGGAACTCCGCCCCCGACGCCCATCGAGGAGAAAACGACTTTCGCAGCGCCGACAACGTCGGACCGACACCCGCGGAAGAAGAAGGGCGCGGTGCGAACGCCGGGCCCGCATCCGTCACAACCGCGCTCGACGTTAGGCGCACGCGACGGCGGGGATGCGCAAAGGTCAAAGGTCGCCTGGAGCGGCCGCGTGCGTGCGCATGCGTGAAGGAGGCAAATTTGGTGTTGGGGGAGCTCCAGACACGCCGTGGCCGCGCACGTGTTGAAGCGTGTGTGCGGACCCGCCGCAAACTCTTGACGCAAATCCCGCCAGCTCGCCGAGGAGCACTTCCGTGACATTTTCTTTCCATTTTCCCCAATCGATACGAAACACCCCGACAAGGAAATGGCATTTTTCTCCCCCTCTCTCTTTTTTTCCAGGCCGCGTCTTTGCTCCCCCGCCCGCCCGGCCGGCCGCCCGCGCTTCGGCGTATTTGGCGCCTGCCCGCTGGGCCGAAGAGCGGAGGGGATGCCGAACGCGGGCGCGCCACGCGGCTCGGGTGAGGGCCCCGCACTCCAAACGCTCGGCGGGACGCCTCGCTCGCCGACGACGTCGTGAGAAAAGCGCGGAGAGCCGAATTAACGCCGGAGCGCGCGGGAAAAATCTTGGCGGGGGAGGAAGATGCCCGCAGTTCAACCTTTCACGCGGACATTTTGGCGAGAACGGCGTGACGTCACAGACGCCCTTCCTTCTGCGCTTTTATTTTGGAGAGTCCACTTCCGGGGACCTTCGGTGTCTTTTTCCTTGAATGGCCAGGCTGTGACTGCCGATCAGCCTGCCGATCGGCACTCACCTCCCGCCCGTTGGCGCTCTGCTGATCTGCAAGCGTGTGCCAGACGATTGGCGCATTCGGGGTGGGCCGGAGACCATGGCGAGTCGTCGTCGATTCGCGTGTCATCGATTGTTCTCGTTTGTCTTTTTCCAGTGCCTCCCGGCCCAGCCCGGCTCGGCGTTTCCCACCCGCGGACCGCCCGACCCCGCACGATCCTCCCTGCCGTTGGCCTTCGGATCCACCGCCGCCTTTACCTTGGCGATCCGCGACAAACGGGAGCCGTCGAGCGAGCGAGTGCGTGAAATTGTGTCCGTGTGTCGTTGGGATTTTGCGCAGGAGTGAAACGATGTTCCTCCGTTTGATTGTGGGAGTGAAACGAGAGAGCGCCCGTGTGTGCGTTTGCCTGGGGAAGTCGTGCGCTCGCCACAAGTAGGACGTGCTCAGCGCCCATTCTTCCAAAACAATCGACGTCGCTGTCGATGGACACGAATCGAGCGCAACGTCCTCTTTTCTTTGCCTGCCGCCAGCAGCGGTGGAGCAAAATCCCAGCCGGCCTGGGCTTTTATCGCCCTCCACACACACACACACACACACTCAAGCGCGCACACACAGCAAATGGATCTTTCTGGAAGGTTGAACTTTGCTTCTCTTGCAAGAAGTGTGACAGCAAACTGTGTGTGTGTGTGTGTGTGTGTGTGTGTGTGTGTGTGTGTGTGCGAGACAGAGGGTGAGAGAATCTATTAATTTTCGCTGTGCGCCCCCATCACATACGCACACAGTATTTGGAGTCGCGGGATGCCCGGGGCCCACCGGAGGAGCGTGGCGTGGTAACATGCTATCTGAGCGCTAATTCAATTAAAAGCTAGCAGAGGGGCCGGGGGAGGGGGGGGGGGCTAGCGTGTGTGTGTGTGTGTGTGTGTGTGTGAAAGGATGTTCCGGAGGAAATGATGAAAAAAAGTTTTCCCGTTGAGCAGGTGACGCATCGGAGTGAGCGTTCGCCATTCGAGGAGTGCAACTTGCGTCGCCCGTCCCAAGCGCTTGGCGCTCCGTGATGACGTTTTCTTCAAACATGACGAGGCAACGTGCGCGGGACCATCTGAGGTGTTGAGACGGGAATTATTTTGTCATTTTTCTGGCCGCGTCTTTTGGATCCTTTTTCCATTTGGTGATTGCGTGCGTCACTCCGACTTGTTTCCAACTTGTCCGTTTGTTGTTTCATGCGCGCGTTTGTATGTATGGCACACTCATTTGCATACATTGACTTGAGTGGATCGTCATCGCTCGGCTAATCAGGGGCGCTCGCCGTTTTTCGGCGCGCGGCGCCGGCTGATTAAAACCCCGTTAGCGTCCCGCGGCGGCGGCGTTCCTTCCTTCCTGCCTCCATACATCCTTCGCCTTCGGATGCTCAGCACGCCGTCGCCGCCACGCAGCTTTATTGATGATTTATTGTCGACGAGCTCCAGACGTAAAAGTTTGTTTGTCTTGCGCCACTTTGTTGGCTGTTCAAGCCCGCAATGGATGTCAAAGATCCTCCATAGGGCGCGCTCGCGTCCATATATATTCCATTGGGACTCGCGCGGATGACCGCAGCAGGAGCACAAAAGGCTCATCGTGTGTCGTACGAGGCGGGCAACCGCAGCAAATACCGAGCGGACACGTGACGTAACTGAGGGAGGGAAGCGAGGAAGGCCGGGCCCACCTTGAAGCTGGCCAGCTGCCGGCGGGCGTCGCGATGCGGCCGTCGCAGGCACGAGTCGTAGATGAGGAGCTCGGTGCGTCGCAGCCACGCCTTCAGCTCCTCGACGCTGGCCCGCAGGCGCTCGGGGACGTCCGCGCCCGGCGGCCCGGCGGCATCCTGCGAGCGGAGAGAGGGCGACCGCGGCGCCTGTCAATCATCCGTCCGGACGGTCGGCCGCGCGACCGCAGCAAAAGAACACATTGTTTGGCAAAATCCAAAAAGCGCCCGGCGCAGGAGGGTACGAGTCGGCGACTTTGCCGGCGTTTGCGTCTTTCGAGCTGCGCGTTCATTCCGGCGGCAGCTGGCCGGCGGCGCCGCGATGAAAGGTGGCGGCGGCGCGGCGCTTTGTTCCTGAGACGAAACAAACGCCGAAGCCGTCGCGGCAAACGCCATCTGCGCGCGTCTCATCTCCGCCCTCGGGGACCGGCGCGTTAGCGGCAGACGAACGCGTGTAAGCAAACATCTCGCAAATGAAACGACGGCGACAGACGAACGCTCGCTCTTCCGCCTCCGTAAGCAGACGCTGATTAAACGTCTTTGAGCGCGCGGCGAGCGCTCGCCGGGGAGCCCGCCGCTCGCTTTGGCGCCGCGCTCGCGCTCATCTGCGCTCGTCGTGTCGCGGTTTTGAATGGCGGCGACGTTGGCGCGAGGTGGCCCGGCTGCATTTTCGCCGGTGACTCGCGACG